ACTTCTGACAGAGACAGTGAGTGATAACCACCCTGGGATCTAGAACACTTCGCAGCTGATGAAGAGAAGGTAATATTCCACTCTGAGATTCCAACCTACACATTGCTTTCATTACAACTTCCAGTCTTCCTCCTTCTGCTCTTCCCGCACTCTTCCTGCCAAATACTCAGAATCTCCCTCTGATAATATGTACCTTGCTCGGGCATGAGAGAGGGCACAAAATGAGACCAAGAGTAAACTTCCCTTTCACCTGGAACAAGGGAATAGCTCAGATAAAGCAGCAGCTGCCCATGCCTGCTGGATTTGAGGGGCCAATCCCCAGAAAAGCAAGCAGGAAAAAGTTGTCTTGGAAGAAGGTTCTGTGCAGAGAACAACGATACAGACCACATAGTCCCCAAGGCAGATGTTTTCCATGGGCCTCTGSTATTTCACAGCAAGTGCTTTCGACATACTTTCAGATTTTAAATAGCTGTGTAGAAATTACTGGTCTCCAAGACACTTAGAAAAAAATACATTTCTTCATCAAAGGGCAACATCTGTGTTTGATGGTGTTATTAAAGGCCCCTGCCCTTCACTCCATTGTTTGACTTTAATCCTTTGTAAAATGCAGATTGTAAGGATTATTTTCATGGAAAAATGTAGTCATTTTTACAGCAATTGTACACGAGCAACTCTGGTTTCAGGTGGTCATCTCCAATGGATTTTTTTTCAAGCCTGCCTTTCAATTTCACTTTTATTATTAAGAAAGCTTTAAAACAAACTTTACCCTGACAGATGCAAAACCACTGCTGTACTATGAAGGATGTCGTCCTCTTTAGGAGCTTTTCTAAAATGGACAGATAGACCATGCTTGTCTAGGGCAGACTGCACAGGAGCTTGTGCATATGTGAATTCTTGGATGATTTTTATACAAACTACCACTTCATTATTTCACTGTCGTAGCCCAACATACTCATGAACCTTCGATTTAGCAGAGGTTAATCGTTCGCACTACCATTGTTTCCTTTTGTGGGTTTGCCTCGAAACCTTTGACGTTCTCTTTATTGTACCTCTTGCTGTGCAAATTTCCTTGTTTTGTTTTGCTTCTCAATGTAATTTTTGGTTGATTATTGTGTAGTTACGGAATTAGAGTAATAACATCTAATTGTACATCTGAAGCAAAAACATGTAATTGTGGGAGACTAGATTCAATTTAAAGAAAGAAAACCCCTCCACCAGGGTTTCTCATGGGTTGTACAGTGCATTTGCCAGGCAGCGCTGCTTTGATTGCATCTAACCTGCAATTAGCATGTGCAATTAAGGCATAATGAATGTTTGCAATTGCATTATTTTCAGGATGTAACACTAGCAATATTTAGCAGTTACTGTACCGCAAATAGTGCTTATAAACTCAGATGGTTTATCAACATTTACCAATTAAGCCGCAGAAAGCAGGGAAGGCATGTGGGGGGGCCTCACCCACAACCATTTCCATGCTCTGGAACGCTCTCCTGTCAAGGAAGTGCACCCCACAGCAGGAGCAAACACGGTAGAGAGGTAGATTCACAGAATCACAGAATATTCAAGGTTGGAAGGGACCTCTASAGATCATCTAGTCCAACCTTCCCGCTCAAGCAGGCACACGTACAGCATGTGGCACAGGGTGGCATCCAGGCAGGTTTTGAAGACCTCCAGARAAGGAGACACCACAGCCTCCCYGGGCAGCCTGTTCCACTGCTCTGTCACCCTMACAGTGAAGAAGTTCCTCCTCACCTGGAGACAGAACTTCCTATGCTTCAGCTTATGGCCATTACCCCTCGTCCTATCACTGGCCACCAATGAAAACAGCTTGTCCCCTTCCTCCCTGCATTCTCCCTTCCTGAATTYATGCAAGTTTCAGAGCTATACAGATTYGGGAGCTATTCAAAATAAGTACTCAAAAGCCAGTACTGAATATGATCCAATTTGTCCTCAGAAAGATAATTATTCATTAAATAGACCCTTTGAGAGAGTTTCTCATGACAGTCTTATGAAGCAACCTTCTCTGCTCCGGTCAGTACTACCAGGAAGGTTTTTCTCCCTATTTCCAGGTCTTAYTCAGTTCCTGCAGTCAAAGCAGCCTGAGAAAGCTCTACATATTTATAGGTGAGCACTGGAAACTACTCAAAGACATTCAAAACTGCTCAGAAGACATTTTGAACACAAGGCAAAGCTGTAGGCCCAAACAGGCCACTTCACCTCCAACCATGAGGACACAAACACAAAAACAACAACTCACCAACCAATTTCAAATCTCCTGCCCTGAAGGTGTGGTTTCTATCTAGCAGATGATAGGACAAGATGGACTTGTCCCCTAATCCCACAGGAAAAGCAGTCTCCCAAGCAGGAACTTATCCCTACCACTTGCATCGGCATCTCCTTTCAGCAGCTCCTTTCAGGTGTACTGAGTAGCTCTGCTAAATGCGATCCCTCTTTGCCACCCTTACATTGAATGTTGTCAGTCCCTTAACGGCTCTTTGTAGTTTTGATGTAGAAAAATACGACTTCCAGCTGCCGAGAGCTCCCAGGCACATCCCAACGTTGAGGGACACCATGAATACACCCTGGAGGCAGAACTGTTTTCTCTTGTGGGGTCTTGAGGAGTCCAGTGTCTGGTACACCACAGCGAAAACAAACATTGCTGTATAAGTTTAACAAAAAGAAAAAATAAGGTTTAATTTACTGCAATTAAACAAAAGTCTAGGTGATTGAGCATCAGACTAAGGTGGGGTATTCACTAAAGGTTAACTGCACAAGACTGTATTAGCCATAGTTCTCTAGCTGGGGTTTTCTCTCTGTTCCAAGGGACTCTACAGAACTTGCATTTCTATTTTTATTCCTGAATTAATATATTTCTTCTTTTCCTGAAGTAATTTTCTGCAAATTACTTCATTTCTCAGATTGTTAAAACACTTAAAAACTGTATATATAGTATTTATTGTACATAAATTTTACTAGACATATCTTTCAGCTTACTGTTGTTTTTTTCCATAGAGCTCATATGTGATACAGTAAGGGGAGGCAGCCTTAGCACTTCTGCTTTATTCTTATAGGCTACTTTCACCACTTCATATCAGTTCTGTGAGTCTGACCATACCACCAAACAATTTAAAAAGAAATACTTTTTGATCACGATATAATCCTGTGGTCTGTTTGTTTGAGGAGGCCTCAGACACATAAGAGGATTTTACCCACTCTTACCTGACCTGCTAGGTAACTGCAAACTCTTCYTTTCTACCAAACCTTTAGAAGGACTCCCATGCTATTTGAAGAGCATCTTATAGCATCATCAAAGAATATAAGTGAAAACACATTTTGGTTCAGGCTAACAGAAGCAAAGATAAATCTGCCTCTTCAGGCATGAGCCTCAAATAGATCAACTGAGATGTTCTCAATGCCAAACTACTGGTGTTGAAATGAAAGATCCCAGTGGTACAAGGCAGGGCCCCATCCAGCAAGGGTTTCTGGTTATATCAATGGCAGTTATGACTTACATGAGTGATGCTGTACACGACTTCAGTACAAAATGCTCCCACACTCAAAGGTTTTGCAAGGTGCCACAACCCAACCAAGAGAAAAAAATCACCACAGTGCCCCTTCTGAGGTTTTTTGTTCATCTCATAAAGTTTCATATTGAGAAAAGATTATTAAAAGTAGACACAAGAAATTGCATAGGTAGAAACAGTCACTAGATCAGTTTCTGTACTGATTTATATCTGTACCTGACTGCTGCCAGAACTTGGCTTAGCAGCCTGAAAGATGGGGCTTCTCAGCAGCTAAGAGGTAGCTCACGGGCCAATCTAGTTAGAATATTAAAATGAAAAAGAAATGCCACTTCTGCAAAAATGATTTAAATTCTGCATCTGAAATCAAGAACAAGATAAATGATGACACTTTCTCATCCAAGATGTTTATTAAAAATGATATGGGCACAGCACACAGATAAACCACATCCTGAAGCAGGGTTAAACTAGGTTTCACATTTTAAACCCGTGCAGACAGCTTGCTGTTCCTCGATCTGGAGAGCTCATTCGTACCTTCTTTATACATATCTCTGCAGTTCTAGACTGACAAAGGACAAACGCAGTCTAATTTATAGGAGTGTCATTTACTTCACTTTTTATTAAAATCACCAGGTACAAAGTAAGCATTTAGTACATATCAGTCCTAAATAAGTAACTATAAGAAAGTGACCTAACAGCTCTGAAATAAGACCATCACATTTCATGCTTTGGACATGATAAGGAGTAAGAAATAACAGGAAATATATGGAGATAAGTTACTCGCATCATTCTGGAAGGTTAAGCTTTACTTTTGAAGAAAAAAGTGCATATTTGATTTGAGATCTATTTTCTGCAAACACTGAAAATGTTGCTCTCATTTAAAAATACTATAGAACTACAACCATGGAAAGGAACTGTGCTGCTTCAATTCACACGTAACCTGAGTATCACAGTATCTGGAAAGACAGGAAAGCATTAACACTAAGAGAAACAAGCCTGAAACACTTTCTGCTAGCAGAAGGGTGTCATGAAACAGCACAKGGCAAAATCCTAGGATCCACCTGATCCAATCCACCTGATGGAAGGTGGCCTRTCTCCTGCTGAATCAAGAACCTGCTGGGAATCTGGACCATAGCCCAAAAATCCTGCTGCTGTGCTCTGTCTTTCCCTTCAAGGTTGAAAAAAAAAAATAAAAGTGTTAACTGTCTATGTGTATCTGAAAAGGCAACAGCAAAATCATTCCCTCCATCCAGCCTCCCTTGCATTCCGTGCGCTCCATCCAGCGTGGCTCAACAAGCTTTACATCCAGAAGTGCTGCTTTTACCAGAAGTGCTTCCCACCACCACGATAGCTGGCAAACCCAGAAGCACAAACAACAGAAAATCCTGCAGGTGCCACAGGGCAGTATCCAGCGGCTACATCTGACACTCATTTTTATGCAGAACTCTCCACTAATATCAATGTGGGGGTTGGCTTTCAATCTAGTGGCTCAGTGTAACAGCGCAGGAATATTCATTTCCAGAACACTGTTAAAGCCATTTGTCAAGTGCTGCGAAGCGACTGCCGCTCCTGTCTACTGCTCTGACAGTGACCATGACCTTGTTCAACTTTCCATACCTTTTTTCCTGGAGAGCCTGACAGTGGGAATGGCATGCACTGTTGGATCCTAGCGTAATTCAGAAATGAAAACAAGAAGGCATTGTGTTTAAAGACACTTTTAGCAATACAGAAAACACTACAGTAGAAAAGTTCATATTGGTCAGTGCTACTTCAAATACRGAGTAGGGTAAAAACACTAAAACAATTAAAGTAAGTGTGTGCTGATCTACAAATTGAAAGATATGGTTATTCTCATGTTTGCTGCAAGAACTTCACTCCAAAAATATATTTATGATTTCTATCTTTATAAAATGGATCATTTAACAGCTAGAATGAAAAATAAATCAAAAGTAAACTGAAATACTTAACACATATTGTAATTCTTAAAATGAAAGTACAAAGCTTGAAATTAATTTTTCAAAGTAAGGTTGATCAAAAATTCTCTGACTGTTCACATTCTCAAATCCTAGGTAGCCTCTCATTGATCATCCTCATTTTAATCATAGTACCAAAATATAAATTATACATTGATTACATGAGATTTAGCCATCTTAATTCTGTAGAAAAATCCAGACCTGATAAATACATCATTTTGCTATATTCTTTATAAATAGTCATGATGCATAAAAATACTTATCTTCAGATAAACATTTTATTGTTTCTCTGTTGTCATTTTAAAGTGCATCAAAAGTTGCTAAATAAATTTAAAAATAGAGGAAGGTCAACAGTAGTCCAAAAATGATAGATATCTCCTGTTAACAGACTTGAGAAACTCGGAGATATTGCTCCAACATTCTCAGTTTGACTAAAGCTGCAGTAGCTTTTGGGGTGGGAAACCTTTACAAACACTGACTGAGTTCAATCATGTTTTCAGGTTGGAAGAGACCTTAACAAGGTCCCTGAGCTCAGCTTGCTCAAAGTAGGGTCAACAGTGGTTGCTCAGGCCTTTGTGCAGCCAGGTGCTGCAAATCTCTAAGGTCAGAAGCTGCACAATCCCCCTGGGCCTCTGCTGCAAGGCCTGACTGTCCTCATGGTGAAAGAAAAGAGGGGCAATCGTCCTACTTAGAGGCTTTGAGGAAATTGTCATGGATGTCCATAATTTCTAGCCTTATCAGTGTGCTTACCAACCAGGTCTCTATCCGTAAACACGTACCAAACTAAACTATCAACAAGTAGTCAGAGTATGAGCTAGCATGTTAAACTCCCTGAGCTAAGTTCACTCCTAACAGTAACTTTAGAGGAGTATTGCTTGCGTGTGTACGTCACCAGTTTGAACTACGGTGTGCAGAGGCACTCTGTAAAGAGCTGCCCTGCCTGGAACATAGATACCATTCTCAGAAGTGCTCCCTTCTCCAGGAAACACTTCCCAGAATGGCAGTGGTGCTGCCAGCACCGGCCTCCCCTGGCCACTTCTGCCCCCATCAGCAAATACTTACCTGAGGAGTCTACCTGCAAGACCCTTAACATCACTAGGTAAAATGACAACTTCCAAGCTATATGTCAAGCTCTTAACTACCGTTCACAAGACAGCACCAGAATGCTACTCTCTCCATAAACATCACACGCGAGTGCAGCACCTGGTGCTGTGGAAGCAGCGTTACAAGTCCTTGGCGAGCTGCTCTATTTCATCCAGCAAGAAGTCCATGTCCTCTCGGCTCACTTGCGGGCTGATGATCACCTGGCGGAAGAAGTTGACTTTGCCCTGGTGAGGCTGGTACCCAAGCATCATGCTGCCCTTCTTCATCATCCTCTCTTTAATTATAGGAGCAACCTGAAAGTAAAGACAGAGAAGGGGGGTTGTCTCCTTCAGTACCTTAGCAAATCTGGGCAGGATCTGGAACTGAATTTTGTGACTTAAGAAGCTTTTTCACTGTCTGAGTTTCTCATTCCCTTGTCTTCCCCAAAAAGAACATTAAAACTCAGACCTGCAGCTTTAGACGCATTGAGTATCTGGAAGAAACAGCACAAGACCTAAATCCCTCAGAAGGCTGTTGCATGACACATCTGTCTGTGATACAGGACACCTTGGGTTGTGGTCCCTGGTCTTCTTGATTCAGATCAAATGCCTGAACTGGGGGAACATTGAGGGCAGCTGGTGAAGGGCACAGTTCCTCCCCCTGGGTTAGGCTGGGCTGCCTCACTGCTCACACCTGACAGCCCTACCCCACGCACACCTGCAACACAGCAGTCCCTGGAGGACTCTCTCCTTAGACCCTGCAAACCTTAAGCTGGCAACAAAGTTAGACAGAGGCTTCATTAAGGGAGAAGTCCTGTTGACAGAGGTTAAAATTTCACTGCTCTGATTTAAGGTTCAAGTGGTGTTTGATTCCATCCCTGTTGTTTTAATGGAATGAAGCCTCCTAGGTGTCTCTCTGCTGAACAAACCAGTGAGAGTGGCAGCCAGGTCCTCGTGGCTGAACACTTGACCCCCCTCACAGCAAGGCCATCAACCTTGGGCAACTAACCTGGCGCTTAACTTTAAGCGTGTGAGCAGTTCTTCTCTGTTCTTACGCTTGAAATTAGTTATAAGCTTAAATGTATTGCTGAATCAAGTACACTATCCCTTAGAATACAGAATCCAACATAACTAAATATTTTGGCAGAAATAATATTTTAAAAACATGTCTCGCTTTAATGTCTTACTAATAATGCTAATGCACTTCAGAACAGGGCATTCCTTTGCAACCTTTTGTGAAGGCTTGGCCACGAGCTAAGCAAGCAGATGTACAATCTAACCTTGGTTTCTGCATTAATTTATTTCAATGCTAAAACTTAGTACTGGAAATTACCACCTGACCTGCAAAGGAAGAAAAATGATGATGTCAACCTTGCCTTAATAGCTTTATTTTCACATGGCATATTTTACTAGGCAATTCCCAGACAATTTGCTCAGATAGAAACATCTGAGGTTTCTGACATACGAACAGCTTGGCTTCCCCATATTAGTTTAGTGGTACTTGCCTAAAAGGCCATTGCTTCAAAATCTATTTTGAAATCAGCGGAGGAATGTTTATGGCTCTAACTTAATTTGCCTTGGCTGATTTTGGTTTGTCTTTGTGACAAAGCTACTTGTCCTATTTAGCCATTTTCTTAAACTATGAGAGTGATGGAGTCGGAATTCTAATTAAAACCCAGAGTGTGACATCAATATGAATTATGCACATGAGAGCCATGAATCTAATTTCAGAATGCAATGTGCAACCAGAAGGTTTTTATTCTTAACGCTGCCAACAAAACTGAAGAAATAAGTTGTGAAAACAGTGCTGATAAACATTTGAGAAACAAGAAGATAACCCTGAAGACAGAAACATTCAGAATTTACTGCAGATAAGTTAGGAGGCATATTGTGATACCTTCACTCACCTCTAATAGCACCTTTCACCACAAAAATCTAATGTAGTGTTTCAGATGTACCTCTTGCATGAAGCTCCTAATGCAAGCTAGCAATGAAATCACAATTCTACTGTGCATGTGCAAGTGCATTATTTAGCAATAGAAGTCATCAAATATATCCTTGTATAATGGGAAGAAAAATATCTCCCACCTTAATTTCCATCTGCACGTCCAATGATTCAAGGACTCCTCRATGTTGCTGTTTTATAGTTCAGAATTGCATCACAGGAACCTCAATAGTCCATTCCTGAACTAAAAAAACACTGAAGTTCTGCATGGACAGAACGAGACACCCTTCTCCATCTTGAAAAGTACATTAATCAGCAAAAAGTCCTCTGTACTTGGGCTAGAATACTCCAAATATTCCAGCTTGCATCCCAACAAGTCACCCAGTGTGGTACTGCACGGAGCTAACACTAGGGCAAGCGGGAGCCACACGGGAACCCGCCTGGTTGCCACCACACAGGTTTTGCTCTCACCACGTTGCAGGCCCGTGCACTAGTTCCCTCAAACAGTGAGTAACGTTGGCCATGATAAAAGTTCTGCTGCTCTCCTTCAGTTTGCACGTGAGGAACCCCTCTAACACCACCCCAGACTGTCAGTGCTCAGCTCTCCCACCCCAGCTAGATAGCCGTGACACGGTGACAACGCTCAGAAGACCCTGGGCCCAGGGGACACTGCATTGGGCACCATGCTGACGTTGAGAAGAAACAGCTCCTCCGGCCTTGTGCTTGACAAGAACCCCCGGGAGAGCTCCATGCATGGAATAAAGGTTATCAGTGCAAGGTGAGAAGTAGTGAATCCTACATAATATTCTTTCTCGAGCTCTTCTTTAAGATTCAAATCCCTGCAGCAACTTTTAGCCTTTATTGATGTCCCGTCAGAGTTACTTCATCTTTTGTACCACGCTATTGATTCTCTTCATCTCTACACCCAGCGCTCTACAATCCATCATCCCAAAAAGCGCAGTAGCACAAATGGAGAGAATGAGAGCAAAAACATTTAGAGCTTCAGCAACATGAGGACTGTAAATATACCACATTTCAGCGGGTCTTCTCTCAAGGAAAGGAAATGTAGAGAATCTCCCACTCATTATCTCATTTATCCTCCATTTTAAGACAGCTGTCCTCTCAATGTGTTCTTTTTTGAAGGCAAAGTGTCCTCTACTTAAAAAAGGAAAATGCTGTCGTGTGGGCTTTGACAGGAATATTTTTGGAAAGGGTTAGCATCAGGTATTCTGCATGCTTTATTTGCTGACATAATGTACTCAGTGTAACAAGACTGTCATGCATCCTCTCCACAGGAGGCATCGAGGGAGAGAATATATTCACAAATACTTAAGTCACACACACACAAAAAAAGTCATTCAATGATGCAAGCATGTTAAAGCTTGGACCTGAGGAGCACTGACTATGACTGCTAACTTAAAGTAAAGCGAACTTCCAGTCTGCAGCAGAAAAAACAGACCTATAAGGGACTAATTACCTAGGCAGGAGTTCAATGAGTTCAAATCTCACTGAAGTCAATAAGAACTGAGGATGCTCAGATATCAGGAAGTTGGGCAGCCCCATTCAGGATAGACTCCTAGGAAAACAATTTAGTGAGACTGAGATTGTTTCACCAATCCAATTATTTTACTGCGGAACTTACTTGTTCTGCAAATTGTAGATCTAATTCTTTATGTTGACCATCAATGCAACAGTCTCCAAATTTTAAATTTAATGCACCCTAAAATCCAAGTTCTCCTCTCTCTTTTGCTTGTCTTCACCTTCTTCCTTCCCAGTGTTGGTCTCCCACACCAAGCCAGCCTAGAGGCTTTTCTTGGAGAAGCTCACTTTGGCAGTGCACTGGCTATCAAAGGCATGTCCTTCCTCCAGGAGTAAGGGGGCACTTGTGCAACAGACCTGGACACAGGGGACCTGCTTCACCTGGGACCTGGTCCAAACAGACCCGCACCGATGCTGTGACATCTCAAGCATCCTGAATTCCTCCATTTTATCAGCAGAGGTGATTAAACTGGAGGAGTAATGATGGAGTCATTAAGCCTCTTCTCTATCATCCTGAGTGCCAGGATAATCCTCTCTCTGCCCCCTGCCAGGGCTCAGCCACACTACAAACAGCAGCAAGCCCTAGCCCTGAAACCTGGGCAGTTTCTACCAGTGTCCAGGTTGCAGCYGCTCCCCATTCCTGCACTGACGTGGAAGGTGCCAAGGTTCCTCCCCAGCACCTGCACGCAAACCGAGCTGCAGGATGGGGAGCCGGAGACACCTCGGAGGATGAGGAAGGCCAGGCACTGCCTTTAATGCACGCTTGGGAAGAGCAGCTCTGCACAGTCACCCAGAAGAGAGATGCCTTAAAAGCACTGCATTCACAGCAGCTGATTGTTTAAGGGTACTTAACTGAAGCTTCTCCAGCACTCCAAGAATTTCCTCCTAGCTCAGGCAGTGACTGCCTAAATAACACTCTTCAGCAGCTACTATAAAAGCTGACTTGCCAAAGGGCTGAGCACTTTCTCAACAGAAGATAAAGCATATGCCTAGAGTGCCTACGAGTTAGAGCACAAGTTTCCATCCTTCAGATCCTTTCAGAGGACTTGATAAAACGCTCATTTAAGATCCTTTATTCTTCTGCCCACGAGAAAGACCTCTGAGATGATTCTCCCAGTGGTCATACTATGCAAACATGGCTCCTACATTAAGAGCAGTTTCCCAGCACATCGATTTCTTGTGTAACATGAAGTCTCCAGAGCAGCTCAGCTAAATGGGTGACGTGCCCACCCCATTACTCCTGTCATGGTATTATGCTTTTGCATTCATTTACTGTAAGCTGCCTCCTGATGAACAGTATGAAAGTCTGTATTTAAATGGTTCAGATTAGTCTATTGTAACTTTATTCTAACTATTCTAACTTTAAGGAAGATACAAGATAGGCTGCTTACTAGCTTTGTTCAAATCATTCATCATCTTCTAAAATGCATAGACACCATCCACAAAAAATACAAACACTATTACTAGCATGTGGTTCAATTTGCACATTTAGTCCAAAATAGCTGATAGCTTCTGACAAGAAGGAAAGGAGTAGAAAAAGTAGGAGAAGCTCTTCTGTTCATATCAGTTAAATCCACTGGGCCCCCAGCACCACCTAAATTACACTTCTGGTTACAAGTACCTCAAAAAGTTGTCCTAAGGAGAATCAGAGTTTCCCAACAGACCAGGTATCTCTTCATCTTCCTTAAATAAAATAGCAGGCAACTACTGGCTGTGGATTCCTAATCTTCCGCTTTACTAAAGTCTCTGACAACTGCAACTAACAGATCCACTGGAAGTGCAAGAAGGTTGAGGTCCAGGTTGGAGAACTGCAAAGTAGCCGGCCAATAAT